ATTTGTCTACCTCTGGCAAAGCGGCGCTGTGGCAGGGTGAATAGCATAAATTCTAATTGGGAGTATACTCATCTCATCAGCTCCCCAGGGTCAGGTTATATGAAATGAATACCATTTTGTGATAAGTCATCAGTGGTTGTTTGATAGATAGAATTCCCCCTGTCAAAGGAATGTTTCCTATGCAAAATTGTAAGTGTCTGTTTTGTTTGAATGATTGCATATATATGTGGAGAGTAGTGTACAGTGAGGGAAAAAAGTATTTGATCCCCTGCTGATTTCATACGTTTGCCCACTGACGAAGAAATGATCAGTCTCTAATTTGAATGGTAGGTTTATTTGAACATTGAGAGACAGAATAACAACAACAAAATCCAGAAAAAACTAATTAAATGCAAATAAATTTATAACATTTTTGACATGCGTTTTTATGGATTTTGTTGTTGTTATTCTGTCTTTCACTGTTCAAATAAACCTACCATTAAAATTATAGACTGATAAGTTCTTTGTCAGTGGGCAAACGTACAAAATCAGCAGGGGATCAAATACTTGTTTGCCTCACTGTATGTGGGGAGCGGTGGCGCAGTTGTTTGCGCACTGTGCTTCGAATCCGTCGACCCGAGTTCAATTCCCACTCAATGGGCAGTGGCCATTATCTGAACTAGTCCTGGGCCTCCCCGAGATTGACTTAGCCTTAAATGAGCGCCTAGTGCGACGTGTTAAAACTAGCACTGGCTAGACGAAGACGGCCGGCCATGATTCTAACCACACCACCCCCTCGCATGCCGTTCAGGCCTTCACAGGTGCTCGTGTACAGCACTTGTCCCAACAGCCTGTATAAACTATTTGGGGGATCTTTGTTGTTTGTGTGTGAGTGTACGCGTGCCTTGTCAGTGAACGCAATGGACAGTGGAAAGGCAGTACCCCCTCTCCAATCAATAACGGAGCTGGTAACGCAGCAGCAGCAGCAGCAGCATCAGAACGTGTCCAGATAATTGCTATGGATCGAATAGGAAAAGAGCATTAATCAACACAAACGAGCCAGCTGCGTAGCCTGAGAGAAAAAAAATATATAAATTAAATAACCACGTGTCACCGGCTTGAGATTGTACTTAGCACAGTTTGCCTGTGTTGCACAATTCGCTCAAATTAGGGTTTAGTTAAATGTGCGCTAAAGTTGCTTTGCATTGACGTTGTAGCGGCTCGGTGCGGTTGATCCCGCTTACACGAGCACCCCGCAAACCCAACCCGTCTGCTGACATCCTTTTCGCAACGCGCTGAATTCCGCGACTAAATAACGTGCGAGTGGTGTTCCCCTCAAATGAGCCTGTGGGGGGGTATGTGCACGTCTCCTGTGTACAGTCTTCAACCAGTGGGTAGATATTCCACACTCCCCGTCGCAGGGGTGAGTTCATCTCCACGACAATCACAGTTGCCTTTGCACTCGGGCGGTGCTTGCCTGTGGTGGTATTGATGGCGATTATCGTGGTAACCTTTTGACTTTGCGGTGGGACGTACCCGGCTCTTTATTTAGTGTTCGTGGATCTCATGGAAAACAATGTGCATGAGACACCAACCCACCTTGCAGGACAATAAGGTGGCCAGTAAAAGCCAGGACAGTAAGGCGCTTGCGGGCCCACTTATATGGGTATTATAGAGTTTGTGTGGATCTTGTATTCTAGTTTTCTTTCGAGTATAGATACTCAGTAAGAAATTGCTGAAATATACCAAGCAGCACAATCTTTAAAGGGAGTCTTGAGCCTCGCTGAGTCATCAAAAGCCGGTCAGTGCCTAAGTACTCAAGCGAGCAATCGGTTGTGCTCATCAGCTTAAGGAGGCCCTGAGCCAGTGATGGAAATTCCACCTTCCTATGAAGAAGCCATTTTCTTTATAGGACTTCCACCAGTGTCTTCCAACAGAATGATATCCATTTATGATAACTTTAGTAAATCCCTGCAACTCTTTAGCACTGCGTTAGTCTTGTCAACTCGTGCAAAAAACTCGGAGACGAACCCAGGGCCTCCAGAATGTAGCCACTGGTTTTTAGGATTTTTTATATCAAATCCCAAAAAGTCTCACTTCAGTTGCTGGTTTGTGCAGCTTGTAGCTCTTGAGTTCTGCAGGCCGTCCCCGCCGCCCGCTGTTCAGACTCGCAGCCTTCAGATGAGTAATACCCTTTTTAACCACCACGAGCAGAGGCATGTATTATTATGACTATTAATATTATTTTTGTCTTAATAATAGCGCCGGGCATTACCGCGAGCTGTGTTTGGAAAATTGCATTAGGGATATACTGATGCCCTGATGTTCGCGTGAATGTTATTAGGTTCCTCCCTACTCCATTTCTCTCCCGTTTCGCAGCAAATAGCGAACACAAAGTGTCCTTGTCTGTTTACCTCAGTGCTCCACAAAGCCACAGTGACTGGAGGTTTCTCCCTTCGCCAACGTGGCGAGGTTTATACTCTTTGGTTCTTTCGGTAAAGTCACGTAAGTGGAAAAAAAATAGAAACAAATAAATCAAGACGTTTCGATTGCAACACCTACGTGACTTTACCGAAAGAACCAAAGGATATGTATGGATCCTTGCAGTCACGAAAACTAAAACTTCAAATCTAAAATTAAGGGCGACGTTTGAGAAGTTTATATCTTCGCGGGCTGGCTCCCCGTGAGGCTGTTAATGCCCACATTGGTGCACAGAGCTGACGGCTCTGGTGGTCGTGCTCAGCTGTGATCCAGCACTTTAGTAGTGTGGTTGGTGGATCATCCAGAGGTCAGAATGTGCCGTGAGGCTCCCAGCGTTCTGGCTTGCGATGCGGCTAAGAGATGGCAGTACAGCTAATTGGGGGGTTGTTGACTGCTCTTGTGTGGATTTTCGAGTGTTTGGATCGGTGGGTTTCTCTCGGGGTCCTCCGGTTTACTCCCACGTGCCAAAAAAAACTCCTTCAAAAGAGATCAGGCCTAATGTGTATGTGTGTGCGTGTATGTACGTACGCCTACTTTATGTGCGTGCGTACCGTGAATACGTGAGGTGAGGTGGTGGCACAGTGCTTTGCCCACTGTTGCGAGCCTGGCAGCCTGAGTTCGATTCATGGCCGCAGATCGTTTCAGTGGCGAGTGAGAATCTGCAGTCTTTCCCCTTCACCAACATGGGTTGCATCGCTTGCTTTCAGACACGCTTCTGCGGCCGCCTGGAACGCTCTTCCTCCCTATGTTAGGAAGCTGCTGGAGTTATGGCACTTTTAAATCTAGATTTAAAACTCATTTTTTTAGTACTGCATTTTGTGTTTAGTTTTTTTTGTCCTTACCCCGCAACTCAGATTAGCACGGTTGGCTACGTACGGTGCAAAAGAAGTTCAACATACTTATCAAACATGGTCAAAAACCTCCCTGACTGACATGGTGTGGGGAGGTCTTCAGCCCGCAGGAGGGTAACAGACTGCTGCGACTTCTTTTTTCCTGATGGTTATAAATTATTTGGCGACGCTGTGTTGGCAGCGGTGCACAAGCACAGTTGACAACAACAAACTCAATGCACTCATCAACAACACTGTTTTAATATATAATCAGCAAGTATTCAGACAATAGCCCTTCTTCATAGCACGTCGAGGCCAAAGTGGTAGAGTGCCACTAATGTTAGCTCTGGCAGAAATGTTGCAGATTATATATATTTATTTTAAGTCAGTATTGTTGATGAATGTTCATTTCTTGAGTGGTATAGCTATACCTATGTCAGATGTATTGCAAACTGTCTCAGTACGGTCCAATGGCTCTGCACGATCTTCTCCTTTGGCCACCCGTTAGCTCAAGAATGACGATCGAACCGAATAATCTCGTTCCATCTTTGTCCTGTACCAAAAAACGCAACACATTCGTCAATAAGGGCCTTAATAGGAAAAATATATATTAGGTTATGTTCCGGGCACCTTGCTTGTAGCACATGACAGAGAGGCCAGAGAGGTAGAGTGGATAATAAGAGTTGGAGAGTGCACTGGGCTGATGAGAATTAAACAAATTTTATGTTTTCAGATGACCATATGAATTGTCACCTTGTAGCTGACACATTCAACTTTATAGCAGCCATTTAAAAAACAAGACAACTCCTTCAACGATCAAAAAAATATTTTTAAACAAAATCATTACCATTATAAAAAAAAATATTGCCGTAACATTGCATCGTGGGGAGATTGTTGCTTGTATGCACAAGGCACAATGCTCTTCACAAGGCGTTGTGCCTTATATGCACCACTGCCAATGCGGCATCACCAAATGCTTTGTCCTGTGCCAGCTTTGTTTTGCTCAGTCGCACTCTGCACCCTTTCATTCCGCGTCATTCTTTATTGCATCGATCTTTCTCGTTCTTTGTCTCTGCTTCTCTCTCGTTGCGCTTGAGTATGGATCGCTACTTGTGGTACCCTCTCTGTATTTATTTGAGAGCCACGTCCAAACCACTGAGTCGTCTTGACGTTTCCGGACGAGTGTTGTTTCTTGTACGAAATCCTCTCGAATATTTTATTTTATTTCTGCACAAGGGCTGCTGCCACGATGGTGGTATCGCACGATTGGCTTCAGATGTCGCAGTTCGATCTCCCGGCATGGCTTTTGAAACGGTGACCAGGATTTTTTGCCGTTCTCCGCTTGTTTCCACCCAGCAGTATGAGTGGGTGCGCCACACTCCGTCGGTAGGTCATGTGCGGTGGGCTAAATTGTGGGATACTCCCACCTCTTTGAAGACGTATGGTCAGTGTGGAAGAGTCGACCAAAAAATACCCACTGGACCAGGACTTTAGAGATTTCTCAAATGGAGGTTCTTTCGTCGGCAGTTGAATGAGCAAGGAATTGCAGGGCTGCACCTTTAACCTACGTGTACAATAATATTCTAGTTTAAGCACAGTTATGAACTCCTTGCATCACTATTAGCATTGTGCCATTGCTTCTCTGGCACCTGTGCCACCCGTTACCGCGTTTAACATGCGCTGCACCCTGTGCACCGCACGTGTCCCCAGCCCCTGCCGCTGCTCCGCCGGGACACCGGCTTCATGCTGACGATGTCTCAGGAGCAGGCCGCCTGCCTCCTGGCCAACGCCTTCTTCTGCACGTTCCCCCGGCGCAACGCCACCGGGCCCCGGAGCGAGTACTCGGCCTTCCCCGACATCAACTTCAACAGGTGCAGCAGTAGCAGCAGTGCACTCACTGTGCATTACAGATTGTACACACCGTGTGTCATGCTGTACACGCACACAGGCCATGTTCCTGTACACGCCGTGTGTCATGCTGTACATGCACACAGGCCATGTTCCTGTACACACCGTGTGTCATGCAGTACACACATGCCGTGCTCCCTCTATGTAAAGTAGTTCCTGCTATATACACAAGACATGCTCTTCCACTCATAACGGACATGCTCTTCCACTCATAACGGCCATGCTCCGGTGTACACACAGGCAAAGTTTCAGTTCAGAGTCACGCTGCAGTACATGCACAGGCAATGCTCCCTTATACATACTCTGTAATATATTGCTCACACTTTGATGTTGCTGTGTACACGGTACTGTATAGGATGCGTTACACAGAGGCCATGCTGTATTATACACACCATGCAACGTATCAGTTTATACGGAACCAGTGCCACTGTACAAAGTCAAAGATCCCCCTTATAGCCTGAACAGACTTTTGAGGCAAGTGTTGTTAGTGAGCACCTATGAGGACTCGCACAGTACACAGGGTTGTGGGTGGCCAAAGCCACGCTCAGCCGCATTTGTCTCGCTTGTGGTCACGTTTACACACCGCACCAGGTACTCATTTAAAGCTGATTCGACCAAGGGGAGGCCCAGGACCGGTTCAGATATTTGCCACTGTTATTGGTCACGAGCGGGAATTGAACTCGGGTCACTGGGTTCATTGTGCAGCGCATAAACCGCTGCACCACCACTCCGCCACATGTAGATGTACACAGTCACACCCAGGTAACGCTGAAGCTCAGATCAGAGTAAGACCTTAGCTTTTGTAAATGTCCTTTCACAGGGAGATTCCCATACTGCACTTTGTCTTACTATCGCACTCTCTGCAATTGTTAAAACGGGCGAAATTGCACCGATGGTCCATACGCGTAACAAAACCACATTCATTTCCTGTGTCACATCGTGACAAAACCACTTGACATTTGCTATGTCACAGCTTGGTATATTAAACTTAATGCAACCTCACTCTCAGTTGCTGATTTAAGTTATTGTGTAGGTCAGATTGATGGCATATACAAATCTTCTTTCAGTTGGGGAAAGTCAACAATGATGGAAGCAAAGTTATCAATGAATATTAAGAATGAATCCACTTGGTGATTTAAAATTTTGAAGATTGGGGTGCAAAGATTGTTATTGTTAGCTTTGAAGTATATTACTCTTTGCACTGCCGTATAGGAACCCTCAAATGTCAAAGGTCAATCGATCGGTTTAATTGCCCTGTGACCTTCCACTGGTCCTTCTGATTCTAACAAGATCAAATTTGTCAATATTTGCTTGTCTGTGAATAGCCTGTCAAAGTTTTTTAATAAGTCGTATATTTTATGAATTTCATGGACATGCAAAGGCACATTTGGGAGATTTTCAAAGCATCGCGGCCATCACATTGCCTTGCAACTGGCACAAACGCCCACAATAGTTAGCCACAAAAAAAAACAATGGGCAGTGCTCCTGAGCCTCAACTGCCAGCCTCACTTTGAATGTATTACTGTTATTTACTTTTAAATTTTACAAATTGATCGACCCTTTCCTGTAATCAATTAAAGCTGACTGCGGTTAATCATCTAATTGCAGATAATAAATGACCGCGTGTAGCAGGTGGGGAGAGGGGACTGAGGCGGTTGTAGGTGGGGGACAGCTGACCGCTAAACGCTTCTGCCTTACAAATTGAGTGGGACAAATTAACGAAATGTTGCAGTTCATGCAGACCTACAAAATTACCCTCATAGTCATTGAACTAAATATATAAGCAGATAATATGCGCCTCTCACATGTCTGTATCTCCACATAAAAAAAAATTAGTGTCTTTCACAACCCATCAGCTGCACAGCCTTCTGGGAAGTGCATACTTTCAGCAGCATTGTTTCAAGACCATGAAAACGCCAGACTGGTTTCAACATTCAGTGTCTCAGCAGTCGCGCTTGCTTGAATCACCTCTCTTTACGTTATGGGGTCCGAGTTCGATGCAAAGTTACATCATAGATAACGTCTTAGATTGGGGTGAGTTCTATTGGCGAGCGCCTGTTTAGATCCGAGCGACATACAAGGGTTTTTATGTGGCCAGCACCACATCGAACCGCATTTGTCTATCCAGTGTTCACACACTGCAAATAATCAAGAAAAGTTTAGACACCACAAATATAAAAAAGCCTCAACACATTCGTAAATAACACTGCCTTAAAAAGAAAAAGGATGTTATTGGCAACGTTTTTGGCAATGGTCCTTTTCCAGAGAACACAGAGGCCGGAGAGGCCGAGTGTGACTAATGTCAGCTCTGGCCGAGAATCAAACTCGGGTCTCTAGGTTTGTAGTGCAGCACAGTAACTACTATACTACCACCCCCCATATACAGACACACATCAGGGCTGGGTCGCCACGGACCACCGTGCCCGGATTAATATTTAAAAGCTCACACGCATGCTATAATGATGCCACTCTAAGAAGCAGGGCGCTGACATTTGCAAACAGACGCCAGTTAGGGCCCAAGTCACCAATTTGCCAAATGGGGGCATTTGCTGTTTTATTTATTACAACGTGCCGGCCCTTTTTAAAAAAAATTGGTATTAGAATCTGAGTGTTTGTATTCAAGCACGGCTGAGTGGCACTGTGGCAGAATGCTCGACTCGTATGCAGAAGGGCTCGAGTTCAACTCCTGGTTAGACATTGACGGCCCACTCACTGGCAGAGCCAGTGGGGGGGATGGGGTGGCAAGTGCCCCCCCAATGATCCGATCAAAATCCCGCACATGCGTCGAATAAAAAGCAAGGGACAAGTCCTTACTTAACAACTCAAATTTTTCATTGCTGGAGGGGCTTTGCCATTGGGCCCACTGAGCTATATTGCTCTTATTTAGAAGCGACCTGGCCACAAATTATTGCCCAATGAAGTGGCTTATGGTGTGGAAATTTATAGCAGCCAAATACTCTAGATGCATATTTTTAAATGTGGAGGGAAAAACTGGAGGGACCTGTAGTGGAATCCATTCGACCATGGGGAGAGAGACATGCAAACTCCAAATATGCAGGTGTCAGGATCTGGATCGAACCCACAGCCTCCTGTATACCAGGCGAAGTATTTAACATCTCGCCACCCTCCCAGTTAATTATCGTGACCATCATAATCATTGTCATATTGCTCTTTCCCAGGCTCTTTGAAGGGAAATCGGACCGCAAGTTGGAGAAGCTATCGGCCATCTTCCACTACTTCCGCCAGGTCTGCACCAAGAGTGAGTGGTGCCACCTCTACGGAGACTCTGCTGAGCCCCCCCCCCCGAGCTCTCCCTCCACTCTGCGTTGCCGTCCGCTGCGTTTGTTGAGCCTGCCGGAACTCCTCGTTACCGAACCTTACGCAGCCAACCTGAAGCGAGTTGAACAACAAGTTCGGGTATCTTTTTTTTATTGTTGATCGAGAAACCGCTTCTTCTTCTTCTTTGGTTCTAATGAGAATGAGAATAAAATAATAAAATAACACCTGAAGACTGCCGCTTGCGTTGTGGCCGAAACGTCGTGAGAATTTTATTGTTTTATTTTATTATTTTATTCTCATTCTACGTGACTTTACCGAAAGAACCAAAGAAGATGAATCCTTGCAGTCACGAAAGCTTTAAATCGAAATTTAAACCGCTTCTTGTAAAGTTTGAATTGCTTGTACAGAGTCTCCACTTTACGTGTTGACACATTCAGATTATATTTGTATGAACACACTATATATACAGGGTGTGGTGGCCTCAACCGCTTTGACCGTGTTGAAACATTTCATCAACCAGAGAAGGTTATTGAGTTATACCCTGACTTGGGTTTGAACTCGCAACCTTCTGGCTACCAAATAAGCTTTATAAACCACAGTGACACCACTCGGGGTGTAGCTGCACTCATACGCATGTATATATTGCTCTACACGCCACCACCCATGTACACCTGTTTGTAGATACAAACATACCTATTCTCATGCTTTCACCCATTCATTTCTCTGGAACGCACGGCATTTTTTTTTCGCCGAATGAGAGTAAATTTGACCCTGGAGAAAAATTGAGTTGGGCGCTGCGCGTGATGAGGAGTTGTTAAAAGCGCGTGAATTTCGGGGTGAACCTCGGGATATTTAGCCAATAAATTGTTGAACGCGCAGGGACGCAGCTGGAGTTTGGGAGTGGCCCGAGCAGCCATATCGGCAGGAGGTCCCTGTACATCTGTTATACCCCCATTATCCAGGGTCACCCTGGGCCCGTGCCTTATTTATGCATGTATGTTGAACTTCTTTCGCACCGTACGTATCCAATGGTGCTAATCAGTGTTAGTTCTCACAGGGGCACATACATTTGCACATAGACACAAAGACAATGATCCCCCATATAACCTCAACATACTTTTGCGGCAAGTGCTGTTCGCGAGTAGCACCTATAAGGGGCTGGGTGACCAGCACCACGCCGGGCTGCTGTTGTCTCCCCAGCGACGATGTTTACACACCGCACCAGGTACGGACTGGAAGCTAAGTCAACCTCGGGGGGACCTAGGACTGGTTCAGAAATTGGTCGCTTGTGTTGGCCGTGGGTGGGAATCGAACCCATGTCACCGGGTTCGTCGTGCAGTGCGCTACCCCCTGCGCTACCGCTCCCCACACTCACTCACACACGCAGGCGGAATGAGGGGAGCAGTGCGCTCGAGAGTGCGATACACAGACAGACAGGGACACGCCCCTACGCACATGCCCCGCTGTGATTGAGTGTGCGTCCCGTCAGTCCAGCCCACTCCTCCTCCTCCTCTCTGTCTTCCATCTATCACTCACATGACTCATAGAAAACACCGAATACATGTATAGACACACGTGCACGTACGTAGACATATCTGTACACACAATGTACAATGCACACATGCGTGAGACACATTCACACACGTTTTTGCACGTGCGCACACACACGCGTACAATTACCAAGATCCTGTACGTAGCCTTTCAGAGACTGTTGGGGCAAGTGCTGTTAGCGAGCACCAAGTGGCAGTTGCACCCCCTGCGTTCGCCACTGTGCCAACCCGCTTTGTTTTAGCCACCTGGTGCTCTGCTCGTTGTGAGCTTTGCTCCCCCGCCCTCCGTCGTTGTTGGAGAGCAAGCACCCCCAACTGTCCAGTAGCAGCCTTCATGAGCCTCCTCCACCGGAACCTTCTTGGGCAAGTCTTCAAAGCTCCCAAGTCCTCCCATCATAATATCAGCCCATCTCTCCTCTAGACCGGGCCGTGCCCGCTTTTCCCACGCTATCCAGCCAAAAATAACTACCTGGTTGGCCATCCTTAGACCGCACATGAGCATTGATCAACCCCGTCTTAGATGTCACTGCCAGATGAAAATTCCATTGATAAAGGATGCTTCTCAAACGACGTAGTCAAAAATAAGCATATCTCTGTAGGCTAATACAGCCACGCATATATATACTGACATATGAACTCGTACTGAGATAAATTCCGCATTCTACATTATTGATATTTAAAATGACGCTTGACATGTATGTACAAGGTCAGAAACCATGCTTCGGGCAGCAACGGCAGCCAGTCATTCTCCTAAGGTTTTGACAACCTTGCAAGTTGTTTTGGCTTGTATCCGCTTAGCTGTGGTGCGTTGTTGTCGAGGGAGGGAGGCATGTAGGGAGGGAGGTAAGGAGGGATGGAGGGGTTCTATTCCTGGATTGAATCTGGATCAGAGTGAACAAGAAAACCACTGTCATGGCCAACGGAGCCGCCTCAATAGCATAACCACGTTTCAGTAGATAATCATTCGTTACTCAGTAATACGTAAACTATGCAGATTAAAGTGTCTCTGTTCCGACTGGCGTGAGTAGGTGCTCAACTCTGCTCGTAACAGTGAGCCGCTGTGATAATTCCAGATTGCTATGAAAAGGGCCAGTCTGTCCCCGGGACAGATGTTGCGACTGCGTTGTTCCCACGCTTGAGCGACGCCCCCAGCACCTTCGCGCCACCATGGCCGTGCACACAGGAGGCTCACGAGCACGCTGCATTTTGATCTCAAGTTTAAAGCGGATTGACCGTCAAATATTATTCAATCTTCTTTCGCGTGGCTGATGTAGATGCAGAGCAACAGCTATAATTTAATATTCAGGTGGTCAAGCCAGACAACCGTGTCAGGAGTAGCAGAGTGTATCATCATTGCTGTGATGTATCCTTCGTATTTGTTAATCGGGCATTGTGTAGCTATATGTGCATCAGGTATCTGCATCTACTGCCATGGTTTGTGCAGTGGATGCGGTTTATGGTGGACTATGAGCTTCGTGGAAGATCAAACCCAGGGATCTTCTGCATTTGGTCTTTCATAACAAGGTGTTTGCGAGTTCTTTTGAACCCCATTCAGCTCAATATATCAATAGAAGTAGTAGTAATATGACGGTGATGACTGGTGCTGTTAGGATAAAACAAAGCCAGAGTATGCATAAACACACGAGTGTGGCTGGCCCTCATCTCCGTTGGCCGTGCTGAGCCGGTAGTGGGTTGTTCAGACTCCTGTGGCAGGGGCGAGTCTTATTATCCGTATGACAAGCGCTTTCCTCTTCGCACAAAGTGCCGCTCATTTTATTGGCTCCGGAGGGATGAATGGCTGTGTTGACCGCTGATTACGAGTCAAACTCGGAGCCTGTGTATCATCAGCCACGCTCTCTGACCGCAGCATCAATTCATCAGGACGCTAAGATATTAGCAGTGTGTGCAAGCCTTTCAAAATGAGTACGTACATGTTAGGATGGTGTTACTGAGTCTAAAGTATTCGTAGTTATTTGGAAGGTACTTTTACTTTCAATATTAATATAGTGCAGCTTAATCGATGAAGAATTGTGCTTCACACGAAGCCCCGCGTGATTCTGACTCCTCGTACACTGACAGCATTTGGCAAATGACAGCTGTCTACTGCAAATGGATGCACACAGACACAACAACCGCCATTCGCCACTAAGTGGCGGTGATGTCACCACGACGCTTGTGCCGGGCCATGTGCACCTTGAGGCCACGTGAAGTGTCGAACGCCCGCTGGCAGGAGGTCACGGGGCAGACCCAAGTGCCACGGGTCGACTGACTAAGATGACTGAGATGGCTGGCTGATGCACCACCTGTGCTCCCTACTGTGCCAACCTGCTGTGCTTTAGCCACCCGGTGCTCCGCTCGTTGTTGTGAGCGTCGCTCCTCCGCCCTCCGTTGTTGTTGGAGGGGGACTGCCTCCAACTGCCCAGTAGCGTCCTTCACGAGCCTCCTCCACAGAGGCCGATCTTGACACTGCTGGTCCCAGTCATCGGCAGTCTTCTCAGCTCCACGTCCTCCTGTACCACATCACTCCATCTCTTCTCTAGCCCGTGCGTCCTGTACCACATCACTCCATCTCTTCTCTAGCCCATGCCGCGCCCGTTTAGCCCCCTCGATCTGGCCGAACAAAAGCTGTTTCGGCATGCGGGTGCTGGGTATGCGGGCTACATGACCCAGCCAACGCAGCCTTGCCTGCCGGAGGAGCTCACCGATGGGACCTTGCCAAGATCTTTCAAAGATTTGTGAGCTCCTCACACAATCCAGCCTGGTTAAACACAGGATGGATCGTAGGCAGGCCAGCTTAAATGTTTCTAACCGGCGAAGATGTTCCATTAGGGGGGTCCACGTTTCGCAAGCGTAGAGAAGGGAGGGAATGACCGTGGCCGAGAAGACCTGAAGCTTAGTGCGGAGCGACAGACCAGGTAGCTTCCACACAGCGTTACGCAACCGATGAAAATATATTGTCGCTCAACTGTTTCGGAGTGAGACCTTTGCTGTCAAACCGGAGCCGGTCATAAGCACACTGCTCAGGTATGGCAAACTCTCCACTCTCTCCACAACTGCCCCATCACCGATTGGGAGTTGTGGGGGTGGAGTGTTTGATGGTACAAAATACCCAGGCAGGTGCTTAGTTTTGGTGGGGCTGATGGTAAGGCCCCATCTCTTAGTGGCACGCTCCAGTCTAAGCAGATGCATCTCCAACTCCTCCTCTGAATGAGCAACTATTACCAAATCATCGGGATACATAACGTGGTTGAGCAATAGGGAGCCATCCCTTGACCGCACCCGGGCATTGCTCGGCCTCCCATTATATCTGTACCAAATGGAGATTCCCCCGGTACAGCTATTGAAGACTTCACGAACTACGTGGTCAAAATAGATGTTAAATAATGTGGGAGCCAGAGGACATCCCTGTCGCACCCCAAGGTGTACAGGG